GTGCACTGGTGCTTCGAATGTGTCAGTGCTTTTCTTGGAGCATAATTGGGAAATACCTATAATTCCAAATGGGGAATTTGCTCTAGACACCCCAGGCACTGGATGACACTTAGTGAGCTCTAGTCGTTACAAGGACTTTCCCCGTTAGAACAGTAAGCAGACGACACATAGTTCTAGCTTATACTCTCAGAACTATGTGTCGTCTGCTTACTGTTCTAACGGGGAAAGTCCTTGTAACGACTAGAGCTCACTAAGTGTCATCCAGTGCCTGGGGTGTCTAGAGCAAATTCCCTATTCGGAATTATAGGTATTTCCCAATTATGCTCCAAGAAAAGCACTGACACATTCGAAGCACCGGTGCACCTTGTGGACCTGGTTTGCAACCATAGTTCAAAATGCATCTAATTATACCATACATCTCAACTGTCACTATTTTGGACACAAATCCCTCTGTCCCTCTTTTCTATTCTAACGTCTTTCTTTTCTCCATATTGTTTGTGATTTACAGTGCATAACAGAGTTCCAAAGCAATAAAACTCACAGTAATGTGTCTTTGAACTATACTAGATGTGTTTAAAAATCAGTCTGTGTAAATAAGATACATTGTTCCTGTTTAAATTATATTTTTGTTGCATTCATTATTATTAGTCAGTCACTTAAATTTCTCAGAACATCCTGGCCCTGGCCACACCCCTTTAAAATTAAAGTCTTTCTGTTTGTCCATTTTAAATGTTGGGAGGTGCACTGATCAGTCACAACATCAAATCCACCTGGCACCTGGTACCTGGCACCAAGACATTAGCAACAGATACTTCAAGTCCTGCAAGTTGTGAGGTGAGACCTCCATGCATCAGATTTGTTACACCAGCACATCCAACAGATGTTCAATCAGATTGAGATCTGGGGAATTTGGCGGCTAAGGCAACACCTTGAACTCTTTGTCATGTTCCTCAAAGAATTCCGGAACAATTTTTGTCAGTGTGGTAGGGTGTATTATCCTGCTGAACAAGGCCACTGTCATCAGGAAACACCATTGCCATGAAGGGGTGTACGTGGTCTGCAACAAACTCTAAGTAGGTGGTATGTGTCAATGTAACATCCACATGAATGCCAGGATCCAATGTTTCCCAGCAGAACTTTGCCCAGAGCACAACACTGCCTCCACCGGCATGCGTTCTTCCCATTGTGCATCCTGCTGCCATCTGTTCCCCAGGTAAATGATCATGCACCCGGCCATCCACCTGATCTAAAAGAAAGATGAAGGTGCTTTCAGCGGGGGACAGTGGTCATCATGGGTGCTCTGGTCATTTTTCTGCTTCAAGCAAATGAAATTCCAGAGCTGGCTGGTCACTTGTTGCCCAATATATAATCAACCCTTGACAGGTGGCATTGTAATGATATAATCAATGTTATTCAATTCACCTGTCAGTGGTTTTAATGTTGTGGCTGTTTACTAAATAGTTGTCACATACCATAGTATTTGGTTCTACTTGGTTCTGTTTGGTTCTGTTTGGGTCTACTGTCTCATTTGAATAATCTGATATTTATAAAATTAATGTGCAGGATGTGCTCTGCTGTTAGGTATTGCAACATCTCATTCTATATTTACAGAACAATTATTTTGTAGCTTAGCATAGTATATTCTTGTTATAATGTTGCCCTCTAGTGTCTAAATTGAAAGTTTGTTTTCATCTAATTAATAGATTGTAAGTTTGTTTGAGCAGAGCCTTCTTCACCTCTTGTCTCTTGTTATATTCTGTATGTAAATTACCAGTTGTCGAATATTCCCATTTAATAATTGTAAAGGCGCTATGTTGCCGCTATGTAAATGCTAATATTAATAATAATTTATTTTCCACATGTTTATGCACATAATAAACATTTAGAGCAAATAATGAACACAGTGGCGGAACTACCGCCGGGCAGCTAGTTCGGCTGCACTGGGGCCCACGTACTAAGGGGACCCATGCTCTAAGGCCCACCCGGTAGGCATGTGTCAGCAGGGGCCCAGTTGGGTGCTCTGAGGGCCTATCACTTCCTCCCAAAGAGACAAAAGCCATGTGGGACAGAAGTGGAGAGGAGTGGGGCGTGGCCGGAGAGCCAGCCCCTAACTCCCAACAGCCTCAGCCAGTTACTGGACCTCAGGGAAGCCATCCACCAGCAAAAAGTAGGACACTGGAGAGTAGCTATGAAAGTGTAATTTGTGTTGTGACCAGCATGTATGTCTGTCAGTGTGTGTCTGTGTATCTGTATGTCTGTCAATGTGTGCATCTGTGTATCAGTTTGTGTGTCTGTATATCTGCATGTGTCAGTGTGTGTATATCTGTGTAAGTTGCTCATATAGCAGACATTTGGCTCTTAGAGTAGGACCTGCCAAAGATGGGGTACATTGACGTTGTGGCAGGCTTATACAATGTATGATCATATAATGTAACTAAACCCCCATTATTTTTTGCCTTGATTAGATGTTTAAAAAAACTAACAAAATCTGTCAGCACTAATGTTACTGTTTAGTAGATAAGGGAGTGTGCTGGATTTTAATTTTTATTGTTTATATCTGTGTGTCTGCATGTGTTTCAATGTGTGTGTGTCTGTGTATCTGCATGTGTGTCATTGTGTGTATCTGTGTATGGTAGTTTATTTGTATATGTGCATACATTTCAGCATTCAAATGTCAACACTACATACAAACACCCCAGCATTGAAATATCAGTACTACCTACAAACACACCGTTTTTTAAGAACACAAAATGATATATAAACACACCTCTACATTAAACAAAAAACACACTACACACAAATGCACGGTTGCATTCAAATGCCAACACTAAATGCACCCAAACATACCCCATGCAAAAACATGCTTACATTTTAACACACAAACACTCCTGAGTGCTGAATGCAACCCTGCAAGCATGGGAAAATGGTAGAACCCCAGCTGGCAAAGTATTGTGGGAGTGGTACGACAGATGGGGATCTACCTGTGGGCCATCCTTGTGATAGGGGCGCCTCCAAAATAATCTTGCACTAGAGCCCGCTCTACGTTAGTTCCGACACTGAATCAACACTTAGAGATTTTTATATAAATAGTAAGTATGGTCCAAAGTTGTAAATGTGGACCAACCACTGTTAATATTGCATTCGTTTCCATGGTGTTTGCTTCCCTTTGGAATTTTTCTTCATTTACATTTTCTTTTCACGGAATGCACTTCCTTACACATGTATCAAACGCTTGTTGGTCTTGAAACAATCACATGTCATTTTATTTTTTTTTACGTGTTTATCTTTCTCTTTTACTGCCTTTCGTGCATCTTCCTTCTGTTTATAATACAAATGTTACCAAACAGATTCTAGTTAATGAAAAGCCAATCCGGAATTGTAAAGCTTAGGGATTGTGTATTAATGCCGAGACCTGGCCAACATTCTAAATCACTGGGAATATTCCAGGGCTTTTTAAAAAAACATTTACCTGTCGGACTTTTATTAGCCAAAAAGGGAACATTATACAAATATATCTACAGCGCGCTTTGTGATTTTTTTCGGTAAATCTTCCATACCAGCAGGATCAGCTTGACCATATAGACTCAACTGCAGATGTTATCAATGACATGGTAGTAGGGATGTGGCATAGATGAATTGCGTGGATTTGGGGATATATAATGTCACCCCGGATCCCTGGAAAAATCTGGTGAAATGTATATTTGGAAATAAGTCAAATCTGGCTCCCTCACTAGCTACGGGACACCTATAGCCACATGAAAATTCAATTTCTTTAAGGGTTACTTACTAAAGGGAAAATTCAAAATTATTTTTTAAATTCAAGCCCAGAGTAGCAAAACTAAAAGTATAGCTGACTTTTTACAATTTTTACAATCCAGCTATTTTGACATTAAATTTGAAATGAATTTTGAATTCACCTAGAATTCTCACTTTTGTAAATAACCCTGTATGTGTCTCACCCAGAATGGAAATATTTCTCAACTATTAGCATAGCCGTGTAAACACAAATACCCATGATCCATGAATAATGTACGGTGTATATAAATGTGTTTGCATCTTTTTATAGCAAAAAGTCACGGTTGATCAATTAGTTCAGGATATATTTTACATTTTAATATATGTTTATACACTTAATGAGTTATATGATCATAGATTGCACATTTAATGTTTAATAACAGGACACAAATAATAAAAAAAAATGTATGTAAATTTCTTTAAGAGCAGTTTAGCCATGAGTAATTAGGAAAAGTTCGAAGCACCCGTTGTCTTCTGTTATTATATTCCAGCTGATTAGGTCCATTGGCGAAGTAAAGGTAATCTATGGAATACAATGAAAAGTCATTTATCACACCATCAGCAAAATAAGATCCACGAGTATTGACCATATGTGTTAGTTTTCCATGCTGCTTATAAAACTAAAGTCCATTATGGGTTAGCTGTAAGTATCTAGAGGCTTGTGTTATAAACGATTTTGAGGGAAATTTGAATTTTTAGAAGTATCTTCTCTTGGCTGTCACTCGTCTTGGCTCTCAATGAGAAGGCCGGTGGGTGTGCACCCTCACTTGCTTTGAACTATAATTCAAAGCGGAAGTGAATGTTTCTCATAGATAATGCATTCTTTTGTTGGATGTGCATGCAGGGGCGGACTGAGAGCCTTTGGGGCCCCCGGGCAAAATTAGATCCCAGGCCCTTTGAAGGCCAAATATATGTGCATTAAATAAATGTTAAATATAATTCATAATACGGCATTCCTTTGGATGTGTGTATTGTGAAGACCTGTGTATCAATGCATGTTTGTATTTGAGTCTGTGTAAATGCACTTGTGCATGTCTGGATGACTACATGTGCTTTTTTGTATATAGTGTCTGTGTGAATGCATATGTGACAGGTGACAGAGTGTGTGAGGGAGAAGGTGACAGGTGGAAGAGTGTGGGAGGTTGTGACAGGTGGCAGAGTGAGGGGGTACCTGGTGGCAGAGTGAGGGAAGGAGGGGTTGAGTGGTGGCAGAGTGAGGGGGAGACACAGTGAGTGGGGGTGACTGGTGACAGAGTGAGGGAGTGGGTGACTAGTGACAGAGTGGGGGAGGGAGGGAAGAGATGACTAGTGGCAAAGTGAGGGAGGGAAGAGGTGACTAGTGACAGAGTGAGGGGATGACTGGTGACAGAGGGAGGGAGTGACTAGTGACAGAGGGAGGGAGGGGGTGACTGTCACTAGTCACCCCATCCCTCTCTCTGTCACTAGTCACTCCCTCCCTAACTCTGTCACTGTGTCACCCGCTCCCTCACTCTGTCACTGTGTCACCCGCTCCCTCACTCTGTCACTAGTCACCCCATCCCTCACTCTGTCACTAGTCACCCCATCCCTCTCTGGTGACTGTCACTCTCTGCTCCCTCTTCTCTCCCCGGCTGCTGCTCCTTCCCCTCCTTGGCTCTGTGTGAGAGGAGTAAACAGGAAGTGAGGTCACTTCCTGGCCCCGCCTCTCCCATCACACAGAGCCGCATGGGAGAGGAAGCCTGAGACCTGGCAGAGAGGAGATGAAGCTGCTAGGTCTCATGGGGGGGGGGGTGACTTGAAGAGCGGTAGGTTGTGGGGGCCCCGCGCTGCATCAGGAGCCCCACAACCCATTGATTAAATAGTTTTATTTTATTATTTTTTCGTTCCAGTTGGAGAGATCTCTGATCTCTCCAGCTGGAGCAAGGCTGTGCGGCCGGGCCCCTGACTGCCTCGGGCCCTCGGTCCATGACCGATATGCCCGAGTGGTCAGTCCGCCCCTGTGTGCATGCTCTGTACGCCTACAATTCATATCTATGAGTAGCACTAAACAAGACAGAGATTATCAAGATTGATGCTGTTGTCGTGAGACAAATAGGCTTAATTTGGAGAATTAGGCTGCAATGAGTAATCTGAGTGCTGGATTACAGGTAAATTGATCTTTTGCTCCCGTTTTTTTGTTTTACAAAAAGGGAGCTATGAATATAATCTAATTCTATATTCTAATCTATAATCTAAAGAATTGCAAATCTCAGTTAAAAATATATATGCATTATTCCCATTGGAGCGTTCCTTCAAAGAATATTTATACCTTTCTGTAACGGAAACAACAGGTTACAAAATAAATACTTTAAATAGAAGTATTTGTTTGTAAACGGAATTCCATTTAGTTTAGGATTACTAAATACAGCATTTTAAAATACAAATAGATTTTGAAAAAATCCAAGTACGATTCAAGGTACAACAAATGAGGCTTATTACACTGAACAAAATTATAAACGCAACACTTTTGTTTTTGCCCCTATTTTTCATGAGATGAACTCAAAGATCTAAGGCTTTTACTATGTACACAAAAGGCCTATTTTTCTCAAATACTGTTCACAAATCTGTCTAAATCTGTGTTAGTGAGCACTTCTCCTTTGCCGAGATAATCCATCTACCTCACAGGTGTGGCATATCATGATGCTGATTAGACAGCATGATTATTGCAAAGGTGTGCCTTAGGCTGGCCTCAATAAAAGGCCACTCTAAAATGTGCAGGATATAGTCTAAATGATAATAGGTCCATTCAGACCTAAGACACACACCCGACTCTCATAATGCAACCATATAGCAAAATATATTGAAAACACACAAGTAGGGTGATATATTTTTTCAAAACCTCGATCTAAATGACACTTTTGCAAAACTTACCATAATTTTTGAAAGCAGATCCCACTTTTTTATTAATTCCAGGAAATTTGTCTTTTATCTTTTTGGGCGACTTGGGATCCATTCTGAATTTTGAACGATCATAACTAAATGAGAAATATGCGTTAATGCTTGCAGGTACAGTTAACTGACACTTAAATGTTTACACTGATTTGATAAATAAGGAATTAATTTAATATCAGTAGACTCTCTTAATGAGAGAAGTGAGTCTGACAAACCAACATATCACGACAAGCGCATGCAACATCACACAATCATATCTCAAGAAAATTGAAGGGATTCCACATAGAGACACAACTAACCTCCAATACTTATCCCCTACAAAGAAAATGGCTTTCTTCTCATCATTAAGGTACATTGCAGCATCTATTTTGGTAACAGAACTTGGGAATCCAAATTCTGAGATATCACGAGGGTACCCCCAAAGCATCCTGCCACCACTGACGGCCCAATGTTGTCTACCTGTATGAAAAATAAACAATTTAATGTTACATCAAAATTTCTAAAATGTTCAAATATAATAAAGAGCATAGGGTTTAGGTATTCTTTCTTGCATTTTTGCTATTATTTTTTTTGTAAGCAATCATTCATTATAAGTTCATTTTTAAAGGACCACTATAGTGCCAGGAAAACATACTCGTTTTCCTGGCACTATAGTGCCATAAGGGTGCCCCCACCCTCAGGGACCCCCTCCCGCCGGGCTCTGGAGAGAGGAAGGGGTTAAACACTTACCTTTCTCCAGCGCCGGGCGGGGAGCTGTACTCCTCCTCTCCTCCTGGCGCGTACGTCATCGCTGAATGCATATGCGGAAGAGCAGCGCGCATTCAGCGATCATAGAAAGCATTTACAATGCTTTCCTATGGACTCTGCGTGCTCTCACTGTGATTTTCACAGTGAGAGCAAGCGCCCTAGCGACTGTCAATGAGACAGCCACTAGAGGCTCTGGAGGCTGGATTAACCCTCAGTATAAACATAGCAGTTTCTCTGAAACTGCTATGTTTATAAAAAAAAAGGGTTAATCCTAGAGGGACCTGGCACCCAGACCACTTCATTAAGCTGAAGTGGTCTGGGTGCCTAGAGTGGTCCTTTAATATAGCATTGGAGTCATTTTGAAGAGTCAAAGTTCTTGGATTGTAGAATAGATCCTAATTATAGGATCTTTTACTATGATGTGCATGTTATTCTGTAAGAAACTGAAATATGGAACAATTTGTGCATTAGCCTGCCCTACTTTAACCAGATAACTGCTGGTCATTCAGAGCTAGCGAAAGGTCTCATCCTTCCAAAACAAAAGTAAAGGTCAGATGACGAACCCCAAGTCAGCTCTGACAAAGTGTCAACATATAACACAAAATGTGTCAGTCTCCATTTCCACACTCTGTGCCCCCCTTGTTGTCACCTCTGCCTATATATTAATCAGTAAAGCTAATTTTTGCATTTACATTCCGGGTTGAGGCTTGCCTGTTGTTTCTGTGCTAGGGCTTCCACTGACCTTTACTTTTTCATTTAAACTGTTAATAAAAAAAACTCATCAAAGTTTATACTCCTTACTGGTTTGTCAATTATTAAAGTTAGGTATTAAAGGGACATTATAGTCACCAGAAGAACTACAGCTTATTGTATTTGTTCTGTTGCGTATAATCATTCCCTTCAGTCTTTTTGCAGTAAACACTGTCTTTTCAGAGAAAAGACAGTATTTACATTGCCCCCAGGAAAACATCCACTGGCCACTCCTCAGATGGCTACTAGAGGTGCTTCCTGGGACAGTGCTACCATTGATTCAATGCATGTCTATGAGGAGATGCTGATTGGCCAGCACTGTGTTTGACTTGTGCTGACTCTACCCCTGATCTGCCTCTTTGACAGTCTCAGCCAATCCAATGCTTTCCTAAAGGAAAGCATTGTGATTGGCTTTTGATCAAGACTTCTTATGATGTCAGCCAAGCAGGCAGATCAAGCACAGAGCCAGCAGCAGCAGCAGCAGCAGCAGATTGGAATAAAGGTACGATGTTACTATATTTAGGGAGGGCAAAGAGGGAGCAGAGGGGTAGATAGTGTTTTTAACACTATATGGTCAGAAAAACATGTTTGTGTTCCTGACCCTATAGTGTCCCTTTAAGCATCAAATAGGTCTCTCAGTCACAGTGAGGCCTGGAGTTCAACACCTGCCAAAGCTCTCTCTACATGTGGTTGTTTAGCTGGGACTGTAGGAAATCTGTCTGCTGGTGGCACACATCTCTCTTCTGTGCTGGTACACAAAAATCCCCCCACCTTTTATAAATACTAATTCCAAACGATAAAGCAGAGAGCAAGAGGGTGGTCCATCTCCCTGTTCATAGTGGTACTCAACTATCATATAGTTATTGCGCCGGGAGCACACCCCGTTTCTCTAGCATATAGTGTCCACTCTCTCTGACATAATAATAGTGTTCGTAAACCCTCCAAAGTCCAGTGCTTGAGGTGCCCAAACTACTCTAAATTAAACCCTTTGCTTCTATCTACGGTATGTATGTATATTCTCACTGATATTTTCCTCTTAAAAAGTAGCCAGTGTATAAAACATTTTTATACATTGTTTACCATTTTTGCCATGATTGTCTGATCCACACATACCTTTAGCCCACTAAAATATCCACATACAACAAAGAATGATGAGCACTTACAAAAGTGGAATGCAGTACAGACCTAAGGTATCGCCACACCAGTCATAAATTCCAAATAGAAAAAGAATTGTGGAGCGCTATCCAAAAATAATGTACTATTGTTTAATTTGGTACATTGGAGGACCATGCAATCAGCAAAGTTTCCAACCACACATTTTTGCTCACAGAAGAGCCCACTGGAATAGGCTTGACCATTCCTTTTTGTTTTCGAAATTTATTTTATTGTAATTTTATTTATATCATATTTATAATTATCCAGTTTTGATTATATTATGGAATTTGTAACTTCATATACCTTTGAATAAGTAAACTATGTCTCTCTCTGGAACTTCATAAGCTGCGTCGACTCTGTCCAAGTTTGGCCAAACAGAATTGATGGCGATAGCTTCAACATCGCGCAAACGAGAACTCTTCCTCCAAATAATCCTTAGTAATAATACACGAAGAAACAAAGATTTTTAATTCACAAGAATTGTAGCTTTTTTTTTTTTTCTTAAAAAGGATGGTGCTTAATGGGATAATTCTAGTTAAATGTTTTAAAATAACACACAGAATCCATGAGTAAACTGTGCAGAGGAAAAAGCAGCAAGATGGGTTGCAATGACATTATACATCAGTGGTAAAAAAAATAAAATTAAAGAAACAAATAAATAAATATATAGAAAGCTTATTCAAGGTTTTATAAAAACGACTAGAAAAAGGATATAGGCGAGAGGCTAATTAGCCTTCAGTGGTCCCAGCCTATAATTTCTACTCAATGTTGACCTTCTTCACACTTGATAATGGGGAAGTATAATTTCGGCAATGTCAACACAGCTCCAGAAGGGGCAGACTATAGGAGCGGAAGAGATGCCGGCTCTGAGTTAATATTACTTTTGTGCCAGCAGTTTCAAAATAAATAAATTAACATATTACTATTGTTTGAGAAGTTTGTTGCAAGTGAACAAGAAAAGTAAATGTGCAT